CCCTTTGCCTCCAAAAAGTACATGTTATCCATTGAGGAACTTGTTGAGGCTGGCAGTTGCTATCAGTAAAATAAGCCCCAAACTGAAGCATTCCTCGTCTGGGACTGTCTCTGCTGTAGACGCCTTTTTATTTCTAGGGCTCTTCTTTTCAAGGTTATGATATCAGAGCAGGGAAAAGGACGAGGGTTGGAAGAAACTCCAGCATCATCCCTTTTTCCTTGTAGTTCAAAGTATGATTGGTTTTGAGGCTGATCTCCTGTGTGACCTCTAGGCAGTTTGCATATTTAATACTTAATACTTTTTTTCTATTTTTAATAAATGCTTCATTTAAGAAACTAGACCACCAAAACCAAAACACCTCTGACCCGCTCCATAATATTGCTATGCCTCTCCACACATCTTTGCAACACTTCTGTTGAAACTCTCTCACTGAAGAGAGCACAGAGTGCTTTTTATATAAGTGTAAAATAAGGCATAAAACTCCAAACATTTCTAGCTTCCAGATAGTAGCATTAAACTTTGCTTTAACTCACACCAGTATGAATCACAGGCTACTCCTCTATTCATCCAAGTCCAATTATCTTTTTTTAAAAAAACAAAACTAACTCAAAATAGACATCTCAGACTAGTTCTTGGATTTAAAGGGGCAGGTTGCCATGCCACTAAACCACTGTTTACTTGTTGAGGTTTTCATCTATAAAAGCATTGAGGTTAATTTTAACTTCCTATTTTACCAAGTCTTGAATCTGAGCATAAAGCTGCTTGTGTCATGAATACAAGCCCAAGCAAGTTAAGAGACCATGAATTGCTATAATCGAGTTTTATGCTTCTTTCATATCACAAGGAGGGAGAAAGTACACCTGTTCATTTAGAAGTTTTAACCATAGCCAATTCACAGACCAAAGGGGAACAGAAGGGGAGAAAAAGCTCCCGCCACATCACACATGGTTTAAGTTGAAAGATTACTTTGTGAAAGCACCAGGCATGTAATGTCAAAGGATTTGACCTGCACGCACAGAGTAAGGATATTCAGTTAAAGTTCCAAACTCAACTTATGCTTTAACCTTAACTCACCTCTTCCTTTGTACAGAGAGGAAAAGAAAATAGATAGAGCCATATGAGCCATGCTGGGGTGTTGCTTAGGAAAGTTAAGTTAAGACCCTTGATGAGCATTTAAATTTATACATATAATGACTATAAATATTCTTATCTATATATTATGGTTGAGTTTCCTCCAACACTAGCTTGCAGTGGATACTAATACATAATTATTAATTTTACAGTGGTTAATGTTAATCAGAGCAGATAGATCTGTAATTCAAGGGTTTTACATAAATACAAATTTATATGGTTCCTTTACAGTATAATTTTTTTCAGGGCCAATAGAAATATTTTAAATGGGTAAGTCATCAGGCCAAGAAGGTATTCTAGTGGGAGCATAAATGTTGAGTTAATAAGTTGCATAAATACATTTCTCACTATCGGGATTACAGAATATCATCCAAAAAACATGTGCAATTAAATAACTTTTTTTTTTCCAAATTAGTCCAAACAATGTTTCCAACTAGTGAGTTATTAATTACCCATAGGTTAAAAAAAAAAAAGGAAATAAAGCTATTTCTTCCATCGAGGAAAAACAAATAATCATTGTAACCACTTTTTCTGTTACGTGCTTCTGGTTCTTTTTATGCTTTTATAGCCTTAAAAATATCTGAGTTTTCTCACTTGTTTGGTTGTGGGGTTTTTTGTTTTTTTTTAAATTTGTAACCTTAGATGTTAAGTTTCATCTGGGACCACACTTTTATGACCAAGTCTAAAATCCCTGGAGACAAGAGGCTGTAATAAAATTGCTGACAGATCTTTAAGCGAAGCAGTAGAATTAGCACCAATAGCAAAGCGAGAGAGATCATTTTAAGATCAGCTCTTTGAATTAGAATGAAACATAGCGGCTGAGAGATTGTTTTGTTACAAGCCAGCCTTTTGTCTTCCTCCAGGTGCAATACGCTTTGTTTAAGAGACATTTCAAGGTCCTTGCTATCGTAATCTTGTTCCACCAAAACCAGCCCAAGTTTATCAGAGCTCCCACGAACCGGTGAAACACAGAAGTGGAGTCAAGGGCAGCATTTAAGCCCAGGGAATTAAAATGGCTTTGTTCCTACTACGACTGTATCCTGGCCCGATTTTTAATATTTCCACTTTTAAATCAGCTTAATAGGCCGTAGGTTAATAGAGTTAGAAGCATTCACTGAGCAGCATTTCAGAGTGGGCTTCAACGGAGCTGTCATTCTGCCTCCACCTTTTGCTGCTGCAAAGTGCAGTTTTCAAGCACTTTTGAGAATCTGGATTGACGTGCTCATAGCTCTCTGCCAAAACAGATAAACAGGCTCTCAAGATTAGGGACGCCAACTCTTTTTGTTGTGCAATACACTAAATGCCGATACTTTTATGTTCCTTTGGACATGTCTGCGTCTCCGTCTTCCCTTAACTCAGTATGCTCACAGAGTGACTATATGGCGCTTTAACGGTGTATCATCCCACTTCCACTCGATTAACCACCTGACCTCTCCATCCCAAAATACACTCCCTCGGCATGTCCAGTGAGTGCTGCCTGAGCTTGGCACCCTTCCTATCGGCTCCGCTCCCGCCTCCCCCTGGAGCGGTGGGAAGTGAGTCACACCAGCGCTCCAGCGGGCAGCACCAGAGCTCTGGCAGTGGGTACCTCATTGCCAATCAGCACGACGGGGGGCTGCCAAGCTCCTCGGCTCCAGCATGTCTCCTGGATGTGTGGGAGTCCTCCTGCCCAGCCCCGGAGCACGGTTTCCCCACCACAAACCAGGTCGTGAACATTTTGCTAGCAGCCAAGGGAGATCCCCTTTGATGGAGGTCCCCTCCATCGCCCGTCTCCTGGGCCAGCATGGTGAGTGCGTGTCAGGAGCACTTGTTTCGGGTGAGGGGATGAGATGCTCTTTCTCCTTCCTTCTCCTTTCAGTGCCAGTGGCCACCAAATAGCTCCTGCTTAGGGAAAAGGAAAGAGATGAAACAGCCACCAGGAGGTCGCAGGAAGTTTGCTGAAACAGTGATGTTTTGCCAATATATTTTGCAAACTGAATCTGTTTAGCTGGAAGGGTTCCAACTGGCCCCATCAAGAAGGAACTTTTATAGGGAGAAATATCTTTCTACTGAAAGTACAATATGTTTCTTTGATTTGCAGTTA